GTTTCTTGGAGGATTTTCTGGACTTCTTCTCAGCAGGCGAGGCAGATGGAGTGTGGCGTCGTTTCTTGGAGCCCTCAGCAGATCGATTCTTCCCCATGGTGAATAGAGAACACAGAGAAAAAAACAAGAGAAATAGAGAAAGAACGGCGGAAGAGAAGAAGAAAAAGAATAAAGAGTGAGAGGCAAACCCTAGAAGCGGCAGATATTTAAAGCATGGGGACCGAGAAAATAGGTAGAAAAAGAGAGGACTCTTCGGATACAGGATATTGTCAAATCAGAAAAAGATCCCACAAAATCCGCCATCAATAACAAGCAAGATATTCTCCACATGGCACATCAAAAAATAAAGAAGGCAGATGACATGGCTATAGCCACGTGGCCAGAGACAACTAGTAGCCAAAAAATTCACAAATCCCACAAAAAATTTAAAAAAAAAAAATTTAAAAGAAAAAATTGTTTTAAGGAAAAGAAAATCAAGAAGATCACAAGATTAAAAGTTGACGGCTTGGTTTTCATGAATTAATTAGATAATCTTAAGGAAAATCACAATAGAAGGCCACCAAGCAAACTCTTGGATGCACGATATAACTATAACCCCATAACCATACTCAAGAAATCATAATTTAGGTAAATTTTAAGGGTTATGAATGCGTATGCGATTAGCACAGCAATTCGATCGTGGACTTTAAGGAGAATTTCCTAATATATGCTTGAATATCATCCCAACTTTTCTTCTCCCTTTTTTTTTTTTTTTTGAATGCGGACTATTTTTCTTCTCTCCTTTTTTTTTTTTTTTTTTGAATTCGAACTATTTCTCTTCTCTTCCCTTTTTTTTGTTGATATGATGTTCAAGCAAACATTAGGAGGGCAACCTCCCTAAGAATCCACATAGCTTTTAAATAGAAGTCAGAGATGCATATGCGGTAGCGTAATTCTCCCAATAGAGGTATGATCTTTGAGATGAATGAGGTCATAGTCATTGATCACTCCCGATAGAGGGGGCAGCACACTTCTATCATGATTAACTGTGGAAACAAAAAATAATTCACAAAAACTAACACATAAACAATTAGTCAAAATGAACCTTCCATCATTCCTACTCAAAAAACAATGATGTCACATTTATAGGTGACACATATAATGTCCGATTAAAAAAAAATTCAAGTGCAATCCGGACACCAACATTAATTGCACTATCATAGAAAATTCAGTTTTGCACATGGCAAATTCCAAGCGCTTTACGCAAGGAATCAAACCTAAGGAAATCGAGGGGCTTTGTGAAAATATAAGCTAATTGATTGTCTGTGGACACATAATCTATAGTCACACGTTTCTGCTCAACTAATTGCCTGATGAAATGGTGTCGAAGATCTATGTGTTTGGTTCTAGAATGCTGGACATGATTTTTTGAGATATTTATGGCACTTTCATTATCACAGAATATATGAAGGAGTTTTTCATGAAAGCCATAGTCATTTAACATATGTTACATCCAAAGAAGTTAAGTGAAACAACTACCTACAGCTATGTACTCAGATTCAGCTGTTGATAAAGTGATGCAGTTTTGTTTCTTACTGTACCAAGATACTAGGTTGTTTCCCATGTAGAAACAGCCTCCAGTAGTACTTTTTCTGTCATCCACATCTCCTGCCCAGTCAGCATCACTGTATCCTGCAAGACAAGTATTAGTATCTTTGGAGTACCATATCCCTAGTTCAAGAGTTCCACTCACGTATCGTATGATGCGTTTGACTGCACTTAAGTGACTTTCTTTAGGATTTGATTGGTACCTAGCACATACTCCTACACTGAAACAAATGTCAGGTCTACTGGCAGTAAGATAAAGTAAACTTCCAATCATACTCCTGTATAATGTGGGGTCCACGTCTGTGCCCTCACAGTCGCGTCCCAACTTCTCAGTAGGACTCATCGGAGTTTTTAGAGGCTTTGCATTATCTAACCCAAATTTACTTACCAGATTCTTGGCATACTTGCTTTGTGTGATGAAAATTCCATCCTTCATCTGCTTTACCTGCAAGCCAAGAAAGTATGTTAGCTCTCCAACCATACTCATTTCAAATTCGTTTGACATTTGAGAGATAAACTCATCTTTCTTGTGGTCAGAAGTAGACCCAAAGACAATATCGTCCACATAGATTTGGGCCAAAAGGATTTCGTTTTTAAATTTTTTGACAAATAGTGTTTTATCTACCCCACCTCTTCTATATCTTTTTTCAACTAGAAAGGTCGTAAGTCGCTTATACCAAGCCCGAGGGGCTTGTTTGAGACCGTATAGGGCCTTTTTAAGTTTATAGACATGTTGAGGTTTGAGTGGATCTTGAAAACCTTTTGGTTGTTCGACATACACTTCTTCATTTAAAAGGCCATTTAAAAACGCACTTTTTACATCCATTTGAAAGAGTTTAAACTTTAAAGCACAAGCAACTAAGAGAAGAAGACGTATTGACTCAAGACGAGCTACCGGAGCGAATGTTTCATCGAAATCTACTCCTTCAATTTGGGTGTATCCTTGAGCAACAAGACGGGCTTTGTTGCGAGTTATATTACCTAGTTTGTCCGTTTTGTTTTTGAACACCCATTTTGTACCTATAACGTTTACCTGGTCGGGTCGTGGAACAAGTTCCCACACTTCATGTCGAGTGAACTGCTCAAGTTCCTCTTGCATAGCTTGTACCCAATACTCATCAAGAATTGCTTCTTTGATGTTTTTTGGTTCTATAGTAGAAGTATAGCAAACATACCTGACCATTTCTTGGTAATCAACTCTGGGCTTATTTCGAGCTTTCATACCTTCATCAAATTCTCCTATCACCTATTCAGAAGGATGATTCTTTACAACTCGTTTTGATGGTCTTTTTCTTTCTTCTGTGCTTTCCTTCACTGCTGTCACTCCTTCTGTGCTTTCTTTTACTGCCGCCACTTCTTCTGTGCTAACGACTGGCGTTTGTATTGGTACAATGGTTTTTCCAGGATTAGTGTCTTCCTCATCCATTCCTGCAGATAAACTTCGTTAAAGCTTACATTAATGGATTCCATAACAGTCATTGTACGTTCATTATAAACGCGATATGCCCTGCTGTTCAAAGAGTAACCAAGAAAGGTACCTTTGTCTCCTCTTGCAGAGAACTTACCGAGTTGTTCTCTATCATTCAGGATGTAACATTCACACCCAAAGACATGAAAGTAACTTAAGTTAGGTTTCTTACCTTTCCATACTTCATATGGAGTTTTCTTGGTACCTGGTCTGAGGTGTACACGGTTTATGGTGTAGCAGGCAGTGCTCATAGCTTCAGCCTAGAACTTTGTGGCCACTCTTGCTGAGATTAGCATTACGCGAGTCATTTCTTGGAGAGTTCTGTTCTTTCTTTCTACCACACCATTCTGCTGTGGTGTCTTTGGTGCTGAGAATTCATGGAAGATACCGTGTTTATCACAAAATTTTGTGAATGAAGAGTTTTCAAACTCTCTCCCATGATCGCTTCGAATTCTTCCAATATTGCTGAATTTTTCAATTCGCAATTTCTTGCACAGAGTTTTGAACTCATAAAAGGTATCTGACTTTTCCCTAATGAAGCGTACCCAAGTGAACCTTGAGAAATCATCAACACAAACTAGAACATACCTTTTTCCACCAATGCTCTCGGTTTGCATTGGTCCCATTAAATCCATGTGAATGAGTTCCAAGGTCCTGCTAGTCCCTGCATGATCTGTGTTCTTGTGAGATGTCCGTACTTGTTTTCCCAGAGGACAGTCACCACATGACTCAGGTGTGTCAGTCTTCAGTTGTGGTACCCCTTTCACGCAACCTGTATTAACAAGACGGATTAGATCATGAAAATTTAAATGACCTAGTTTCCGATGCCAGAGATCAGTGAGATCAGAAGAAGTGTGATGACATTGATCCGATTTGTCAATCTGATCAATTTTGTAGCAATTGTCTGATGACATGTATCCAGTTAGAACACAATTTTTGTTTTCATCAAATACTTCACACTTACGCTTTGTGAACAATACAGAGTCGTATAGATCACACAACTGACTTACACTCAGAAGATTTGATTTCAAACCTTCTACATACAGAACATTGTTCAAGTTTGGCAACCCTCCAACATTTAAGTCTCCTTTTCCCTTTACATAAGCCTTATTTCCATCTCCAAAAGTAACCTGTCCAGTAGACATGTTATGCAGATTTGATAAGAAATTCCTTTCACCTGTCATGTGTTTGGAGCATCCACTGTCAAAATACCAAGAGTTAGTAGCACATGCATTTAAACATAAAGTAGCTGACAAGCAGTTAGTACTATCATTTGTCATCCTTTGTTTATGAGAGTTGTTACTTTGAGAGTAAGTAACCCACGCAGCGAATTTGGATGTCTGATATGCTAACTGTTTGTTTATCAATTTCCATCTTTTAAAGAATTTAGGCCTGACATGCCCTATTTTGTGACAGAAGTGACAGATAGGAATAAACTTAGTAGGATAGGTTTCGTTGTTCACACAAGAAGATGTGGAATTGACAAATCTGATTTTCTGGTTTGAACAAGTATTAGCATTATATTGTCTATCAGTATACCCTAACCCAATTCTTTTGGAATTAGAAGGATGAGCATTTATGATTTCATCTAATCTATTTGAGGGAAGAAATGCAATGCGATTTAACTTACTGACAGAAGCCTGAAACATTGTGCTAACAGGCGGTGAAACATCTTGGTGATCATCAGCATGCACTTTTGGAAAAAGATTTTCCCTCATTCTTTTTGCTCTTTCACCATCATAGTCCTGCCAATACTTCAACAAATCTTTGAGATTGTCGATGTCTCTTTGTGCGAAGTCCTGTTCCACTTCAAAGACTATAATCTCCATCTCAAGTTCATCAATCCTGTCATTCAGTTTTGTGATAACTCCTTTGTTTTCTTCCTCTTGTTCTTTGATTCTTTCTTTCAGGAGTTTATTTTCATTACTAACTTCATGACATTGCTTCAGGAGATCATCCAATTGTTTTTGAAATTGTTGGACGAACTCTTCACCTCATCTTCTGATTCGTCACTCCCTGTGGACAGATAAGGCATATTTAGATTTTCGTAATTTTCATTTTCCTGTGTGACATACCTGAGATGTGGCGGTTCTGTGCCCGTGATGTCCTCAAGTGTGGCTTCTGTGATTCTGCAAGTTCCACATAAATCATTGTTTGTATCATCGTCACTAGCTTCACTTTCATCATCAGACTCTGAGGTGTCATCACTCCAAGTTGTGGCAAGTGATTTTCCTTGTTTTTTCAGAGTGTTAGCACATTCTGCTTGGATATGACCATAACCATGACATTCTCTACATCGAATTCCCTTCTTGACTTCTGGCTTATCTGTAGAGGTCCTGGGTTTTCTCCCAGAGTTTGTAGGATGTCCATTTCTCTTGATGAATTTCCCGAAATTTTTTGCTATTAAGGACATGGATTTTGTGAGCTTGACTTCAAGTGCTGACATAGGAACAGTAGGCACAGATGTTGTGGTGTCCGATACAGTTTGCAGAGCGATTTTCCTTTCCTTGCCCATTCTGCTGATGTTCAACTTATTTTCAAAAGTTTGTAGATTTCCAATCAGATCCTCAAGTCGCAATGAGTCCACATCACTTGCTTCCTCTATGGCAGTGATCTTGTACGCGAATCTGTCTGGCATGGATCTGAGCACTTTTCGTACAAGTTTAACTTCAGGATAAGTTTCACCGAGGCCATGAGCTTCGTTTGATATGTCACATAATTTGGAGTTAAATTCGCTCACGGTCTCATTTTCTTCCATACGAAGATCTTCAAACCGGGTGGCAAGCATTTGAAGTTTGGATAGTCTGACTGAAGCAGTTCCCTCGTACGCTGTTTGGAGTTTCTCCTATGCTTCTTTAGCACACTCACACGCAGAGATTATTTTGAATTGATTGATATCAATTCCATTGAATATAGCATTCAAGGCCTTGGAATTCATGTTTGCTGCAATTTGTTCGGCTTTGCTCCAGTCTTTCTCATGCTTCTCAGTTTCAATCCCTTTCTCATCTGTGGCAACGGGTCGCTTCCATCCAGTTAACACTGTTCGCCATGCATCTTCATCCATTGACTTTATGAACATCTTCATCTTAGTCTTCCAATAGGAGTAGTTGGTTCCCGTGAGCAGTGGTGGGCGAGTCGTGGAACCTCCTTCCATATGAGAACTCATAGTACCTACGAATAATCAATGGCAAATAAATCAAATTCCCAAAATCACACACTATGTATATCTAGTGAGAGGCTCTTGATGCCAATTGTTGATTTATATGCCTATAGAAATCAGTTGATCTAAGTTGTAACAGTTAAGTTGTGGAAACAGTATTCAGTTACAACTGTAAATCTTGTGTTGGCACAGTTATACTCTACTTAAAGTAAATAAACAGAACATAAAAATTAATGTGGTTCAGACACAATTGTGCCCTACATCCACATGGACCTGCAAACACGATTTCACTAGTTCAGATTTACAGTGTACATTAATAAGACTTATTAAAAACACTAAAGACTCCCTCTTTATGTAATATGCCGTTCTTGTACACAACTCCAACTTCGTGTTTCTTCCAACAGCAGCTCCACACCGCGTGCCTAGAACTCCTTTCTGGCCTGAACTCCCTTCAGTGACGCGGTTGATCTCGCAGGAGATCTATACAGCCAATCTGTATATGTTCGCACATCCAACGATGGCACAGTTCTGTTCAGCAGAACGTTTCAGCGATTCTTCAAAGCAACGGACTCCCAACAAAAGTGTCACGGTCTTTGTGAGGTGAAGAGCCTTATATAGGCATGAGATCGGCCTCCAAAGACCTGTCTTCCAAAGGAACCGAATAACTAGGAAACAGAATCCTAGTCAATATTTAGTTCTAATCTAGATAACTATAAAAGATTCCTAACAAGAGTAAAGTACAAGGAAATAAATCTAAGTCCTAAAGTATTACAACGGTAGGACTCTAAATTTCCAAAATAAACATGGGAACAAATCTTTAGCCAATCTTTACTTCACAAGTGAGGCGGATTTCTTCCTTGGTGGAAATCTGGCGCCAACAGCACAGAACTGATGACACCTTGGTATGAATTTGGTTCTTTTTTTAAATCAATTCCGTCTTCTCTACTTTTTTTTACTTTTTTTTATTTTCTTTCTTTCTTTTTCAGATTTTGCATGTTTTTTGAGGAACTTCATGGTTCAAATATTATCCTTCCATGATCTACAGATTTACTCAATATATAGCACCATCTCTTCGAGAAGGCATTTTTTAACGCAATAGTTCTCGAGGTAACTATCTTTTCTTGAGGCTGCTTTCGATAAAATATATTTTTTCGATTACATTCAAATTGTTGCAGTATGATCAATGTTTTCTTCCCTGATATTGCAATTAAATTTTCCATGTTTCATTTATTTGTTGCGTGTGTGATTTTTATATTGCTACTTATTCAATGTACTCCGGATCATATCTTGAGTACAACGATGGGATATTTGGTAGTCTCCAAAGGATAGATAAAAGCATTGTGAAGGAATAACAATTTTCTATTGCAAATTTTGTATATATATATATATATATATATATATATATATATATATATATATATATATATAAATGACAAGGGCACCTAATTAAAAGAGGGACATCCAACTTTTTTGTCTTTCAAATAAATCCAGCCGATTCAAACTTATTTGTAAATAAGGAAAATCCTTTTATATATACCAAAATTACCCCCAATTTATTGAAACCCAATTCAACTCCAATTTCATGATTTACACCCCAAGTTAGCCCAATTTCATCAATATACCAATTTTAACCTTGATTTTAATTTTGACCCCAATTTTGACCCCAATTTTGACCCCAATTTTTTTTTTTTTTTTTTTAAACTTTTTTTTTTCCTGAATTTTTTTTCCGGCCGGTCAACTGCCGTTGACTGCCGGATCTCCGGCGTTGACTTGTTTTTTGTTTTTTTTGTTTTTATACTTTTGGTTGCTAAATTACTGTCTCCGGCAGTTATTTAACTGTCGGAGACAGTAATTTAACTGTTAATTGACTTTTTTTTTTCTTCAAAAATATTTTAATTAATATTACTGTCTTCGATGCTAAATTACTGTCTCCAGCAGTTATTTAACTGTCGAAGTCAGTAATTTAACTGTTAATTGACTTTTTTTTTAAATATTTTAATTAATATTACTGTATTCGTTGCTAAATTACTGTCTCCAGCAGTTATTTAACTGTCGGAGACAGTAATTTAACTGTTAATCGAATTTTTATTCTTAAAAAAAAATATTTTTAATTAATATTATTGTATTCGTTGCTAAATTACTGTCTCCAGCAGTTATTTAACTGTTAATTTACCTTTTTTTAAAATTTGTTTCTTAAAAAAATTATTTTAATTAATATTACTTCCTCGACTGCTAAATTACTGTCTCCAACAGTACTTTAACTGTCTTAGACAATAATATTACTGTTCGGAAAAATAATATTCATAATATTACTGTCCCAAACAGTAATATTACTGTCTGAGACAGTAATTTAGTAGCCAAGACAATAATATTAATTAAAATATTTTTTCTAAGAAAACAAAACTAGAAAAAAAAAAAAGTCAACACCGTAGACCGGCGGTGAATGGTGGTTGACCGGCCGAAAAAAAATTTCAGGAAAAAAAAGAAAAAAAAGTCAACGCTCAAGACAGGCGGTCTCCGGCGGTCAACGCCGGAATCTGGCCGGAAAAAAAAATTCAGAAAAAAAAATATTTTCTGAAAAAAAAAAAAAAAGTTTTGGGGGGTTAATTTGATATATTTGTTTAAATCCGGGGTCAATGTGTAATATTAAGGAAGTTAGTGCATAATGGATGGAATTGATAAGAATTATATTATGGAGGGTATTTTAGACTAAAGACATGGGGATGGGTTTAATTGAGAGACTATTTTTTTTGTGGACCAAAATGCATTTAAGTTACATGTGATGGGTCTTTTTGCCAATCGCCCATATATATATATATATATATATATATATATATATATATATATATAGGACCGGCAATTGAGCCGAGCCTAACCGAAGCCCGATGGCTCGACCCGATTATATTTGAGCCGAGCTTAATTTTTAGTGAGCCGGGCCGAGTTTGAGCCATTTTACTAAACCCGATTTATTTATGAGCCGAGTTTGAGCCTACTATGATTCAACCCAAATAAGGCCCGACCGATTAGGATAATATAATATATTTATTATTTTAATATTGTGACTCAACATACAAATTATGACCGTATATGATTATTTGATTTTGCGAAGAAAAAAATCAAAATAAAAGGAATTAAGTAGTGACGATGACAATCAGTTAAATATGAATCAAATGCAACATATCACCGAAATTTGAGA